ACAAAGGCCCTGTTTCCACCTGGTGTTAACATACCAGGCGCTTGGGCAATGGGTTCACAAGTGGACAGCTAAGTACAGGTGTGAATGCAGCCAATGTCCATCAATGCCTCTTGAGATTTGATTGCTTAGCCCAGACTTTGAGGTGGTCTGGGCCACATATGGCCACATTCTTTCAACAGTGTGTTCACTATTGTGTCCTGGGCAAGATGAAAAACTGCTTACTCACCTATCCTTGCTTATCTGACTCAAACTTTCTGTTGCTGCTGTTACAACATGTGTCTTTAACAAGGGGTCCATGACGGTAATTCTCAACTGGTGGTCGCTCGATGATCACTCGAGATGAATATGGGGACACATTCTAATGTCAGGAGTGAACAGATAGACATGAAATTTCGTTTTATGATCTGACCACCCAAGACACATGTTAATACCAGGTCTGAGCAGGATTTTTCTTGCTGTCAATTGTCCAAATCAAACATTTTAAAAAATATTTCAGCACTGGTTCATTTTGGCACAGTGCTAGCATCACATACTAGTACTTTCTAAATGTGATTTCTGTATAAAATTTCAGTCAAAGATTCAGTCAAAGTCTGAGTTGATATTTCATCCATTCATCTTTAATAATTAAAGGGAAAAAACTGACACTATGCATCAACATAGCACTTGTGCAGAAAATGGTATGACATGTTCCATTTAACAGCTGATTCTCCTGGTTCAGCTGTTACCCTTTCTGCTATAGTATCTCCTATTAATCCCTTAACCCAACTACCTCACACCCTCCCTTTGGGCCAACTGCCAAACCCGCTCTGTTTCATCTTTCAAAATGGCAGAGAGGGCAACGAAACGGAGCGTGCACGGACTCTTTAAACAACAAGGACCATCAGAATGTGGTTTGTCTATTAACCAAGATAACATCTGATTTTGTGTGTGTGTGTGTGTGTGTGTGTGTGAGTGAGAGAGAGAGAGAGAGAGAGAGAGAGAGAAAGAGAGGGAGAAAATGAAAGAGATAAATTGAGAGGAGTCAGTCTGCCCCCGCTGTTCTCACTCAGCAGACTTGCGATAAGGTTTATCTCCGGTGCCTAACGAGTTCGCCCAGTAGCCCTCTCCAGCTCCCATCGAGTGGACCGGGGCGCACAGAGCTGCACACAGCCAGCAGTGGGTTGAGCTCCCTTAGGTGACCTGTGCGTGTTGTTCATGCTACGCTGCTTTAGAACTTTATTTTCTGTAGGAAATGGCTTCAGCCCCTTCGGCCACATCTCTTTTAATCTGGGATTTCTTTTTTTTGCCTCCTTTTCTTCATCCTTTCTACTCACTGTAACTCAGACTGCCAAGAGAAGCTGCAAGAGCTGGAGAAAGAGATGCTGCGGAGCTTTGGCACAGAGAGGCGTGTGTGTCCCAGAGGCAGTGGCTGAGGCAAAGATGGAGACACAGAGAGGGAGAGGGGGGCTGCTGCTGAGTTAAGCCCCTAATCACAGTCTGCTCTGCATGAAGGACTTAAAGTCACTCCATTTAATGCTACCTTCTCTTTAGTCAAAAAAGGGAAAGACATACTACTGCTTACCTCTTCAGCTTTCTGATACCTAGGCCTCCATTCCTATCACATAGCCATTCTTGTGATGCACAGAAGTGCACGGTCAAACACATACAGAGAAAGATGCAACTCAAGCACAAACACTGATGCAGGAAAACTAACATCGACATGCATACACAGCAATGCCAGCACGAATGTTTCCCTTTCTAAGATCCCACTTTAATAACATGAGCAACAATCACAGGTCTTTACAGCAAAATGAAATTAATACGAAAACACACATGCTGTCAGAAAATGAAGCCACTTGAAACAATTTCATGGTAAACCACTCTCGTGACTGACGTGGCGGCCATGCCCTTCACTGGCGTGCTCAGGTGCTTCATTTGTTTGTGCGAGAAGTGGAGAATATGAGCACATCCTCAGAGACCGCGGGGTCCCACTGGCTCAAAATACATTAATTGACTTGGCTCCGCTTCCAGCCAGGTGTAACACACTTTGGCAGACTACTCCGGAACGTCGGCGAGATCTTTTGGGAAATCCCCCCTACCGTGTCAAAGCTACACTTCCCGCACTTCCAGCTGCTGTTTCACCTCACTTTCCTATCTCGTCCGCGTGGCTAGCAGACTATGGGTTGGCGTATAGGTCTTAATCTAATGTTGGAACATTGATTTATGCTTGGGTGTCCCACAGCCATTAAGATAATTGCATGATCACTTTATAACATCCTCCCCTGGTGGCCATGGTAATTTGGCCACCACCCACCTTGCTCAGTCAGACCCGTAACCACATTACAGCAATAGAAAATGTGGTTGGAAATATCATCTTTCAGCCCCTGCAAATTGATTTTATACCATTTCCACTGACTTCTAAAACCCTTTTAGTCTATCTCTCACCTGTGCTGACCATTTGATCTATTGGAGGCTTCTAGGTCTTAACAGCTTGTATTGATCGAAATTCTTTAGCTGGTTTCTTAAGGGGATGCTCTCGTGTCACCTTGTAATTCCACCAGTCCAGGTATTTCTGAGTGAGATCATCACTGAGACAATGTATTTTTAGCTGTTAGGGGGCGAGACAAGTGGGCTTTGATTGCCTTCAATGGGAAACGACTGTGTAAAATGGCACTATGATCTCTTTCGACAGAATCTTTATTAAAATAAAGATTCCAGCAGTACTATGGACTAATGGCTGCTTAAGAGGAGAACTTAGCGTCAGTGAAAGTCAAATCGCTTTGACGGATTGAGCCAAAGGGAAGCACTTTGCTTCCTGAGTATCAACACTCAACTCAGCTCAGATAAGATGCAGTGATTTGAAACTTCAATCTGACAGCAGCAGTTAGTTGATCCAGCTAAAAATGTCATTTATTCAATCATTTATTCTGAAATTCTTCATCAGTTATTATTCGTAATGGTTTTACTGTTGAGCATTCAATTTTATTACACTGATAGGAGCGGAAGTATTAAGGAGCAGAATACCTTCATACAGTATTATGCTAGGTGCTTCACCAGTGCTTCACCATTTTAAGTCACAAATCTTATTTTCATATTAGTATTTTTAACTTGTTTGTTAAGTATTTAATTGGTTTTCTCCATTTAATGTATTATTTTATTGCGTGACCAGATAGGGTTGGGTGATATGACAATATGTACCGGGAGATGTTATAGATTAAAATTTTCCATACAGTTTACACCGAGGTCAAGCTGCAGTCTTCCAGAGTTAACTGTTATATCAGCTATACCAGCTGAGCTGCACTGACCATCAATAGTGAATGAGACAAGTGTGAAAAGTTCAAACATTTTAAAGGAGATGTATACAACATTCAGAGCAAATCTATGATTCAGAGTCTGAGCCAGGATGGTCTGCACATGCCTCTCAACATGGAGGTGGATGAAGCAGGGGCTAACAAGATCACGATCAAGATCAAGATTAACTTTATTGTCCCATTATGTGAAATTTGTCTCAGGCCCTACACCTCTGCTGCAGCCATAGAAATACAACATACAACATATTACATATTACAAATCAATATTATACCCAACGTAGCAATAAGAAACACAAAAAGATAAATTCATAAATAACAACATATGCTGGAAATGCCTCTATAAAAAAAGACAGCAAATGATGCTAACAGCAGCAACAGTGCTGACAGACTTAACAGTTGTTAACGTGGTGGGAAAACGGAGGGTACAGTAAGTGCTTCACTTTCATGATGACGCTGTTGTCATTATAAGCGGAAGCTTGCGGTAACCATCGTATGAACACAGTGTAGCGGTGATTAGCTAGCCAAACATGACTCACATGCTACCACTACATCAGAGAGGAAAGCTTGGATTACAACACACACAGACGGAGCATGACTTGATCCTCCTTTCAAGACGCCATTACTCCAGTATATCGTTACATAGCAAATAGTGGTTTACTGCTTTATTAATGTTCTAAATGTTGTTTTGTTCTGATGTTAATTATTCATAATGATCCATATAAAAGATATTTGGTCCAAGTGAAACACAGGCTTTCTTCACAGTAACAATTTTGTCCTCCACAGCAGGTTAATACAAGCCCTTTTCACACTGTGAGCTGTTAGGCTGCAGCTAAGAAAGTTTGCACATTGGCACAATGCTGGTATACTCCAGACTCTAGCCTAGGGCTTGCTGGCCCTGTTCTGGAGCAGGGTTGGCCTCAAGATTGTGAGGTTATTCCCTGAAAATTAAAGTTGCCGGTGTGCAACAGAGCTAATGAAATTTGTGTCACGCTTTTGTTGTCCTATCACATGACTTCTTCATAATGTCATCAGTACATGCCTGCTGTATGTTTATATTGTGATCATGGTAACTACTGACAGAAACTGGAGGTAGCTAACAAGCTAGCTAACTTAAAATATGTCCAGAAACACGTTAAGATAAAACAACAACTTCTTCTTACCAATCACTCTTTTTTCCACTTTCCTTTCTGTTTTTGATGTTTCATCATCGCTCTCATAAAGCTCTGCTAATGGCAACATTTTAAAATTGCTACTTGCTGTTAAAGAGTGGTCACATGTCATTGTTGAATAGTAATTCATTATGTTCCAGCAGACATTCAAGCCAGCGCTAGCAGAAGTGCAGTGTGAATAGTACAGTATAGCCCTGGGCTTAGGTTAACCCTGAGTTAACAATGTGTGTGTGAACAGTGGTCAAGTTAGCCTAAGGCTATTCTTAGCCCAGGGCTGAAGTTATGAAAAGCACTACATATGCAAAACAGTAAACAGTTGTTTGCTGCTATGTTTATGTTCTGAATGTCATATAAAGAACCCTGGGGTACATTATTGCACTAATTTTATTAACACATGCAACATGCAAATAAAAAGACGCTGAACTTCAAATTTTTGTCCTTTTAAAACATGTACTTAATGTTAATTAGGTACATGTACTGGACTGAGAGTTATATTAATTTAGGTATTTTAATACTTGAATACATGGTTAAACCTGCTTACCTTTCTCTCGGGTGACTTTGTAGCAAAGACAGGCATGTGACAGGCAAGCAACGGACACCAAAACGGGGCCATAGTCTTCCCTTCGTCGTCTCCACATAACCAGCCTGGTGAGTTCTCCTGTCCTGAAACAGAAGAAAAGGAGACTTTTTATTTCTTCTCATAAAGATGAGACTAATGTTGTTGTAGCTTACCAACTTATTTTGTTGTTGTATTTATTGACATCATGTATCTGACGCTAAGTGAGCCAAGCTGTGAGCTCTCCTTCGAGCTATGTCAAAACCACACGAATAATCAGAGAAACATTTCACTGCCTCATGTATGTGTTAAGACTGATGCTACTAGCCGGTGAATGAAATAATCAGCCAGAGGCTTATTCCCTGTTGTTGGAGGTGAGGCCAGGTACCGCCAACACAAGGCCTCAACAGTGATTAGACCTGCACTTAATCAACGGTGAGAGTCAGTCCCAGCAGGAAAAATGCAACTGCTGGATTTGAGTTATAATAATGGATTTGTCTGGCGTGTGCGCCATCTCCACGCTCATAGCTCTGAGCCTTCCAACAGGTGCACCTCTGACAAGGCGCCGGGCAAATCTGCCAAAGTGCTCCCATTATGTAATTTTGTAATCATAAATTTCAATTTACAGAAACTTAATTGTGCATGAAATTTAACAGCTTGCTAAAAATTGCTTCCTGGTTAGTTACCATACGTTACCTTGGAATAAGCTACACTTTATATCTGTTGTCTGCCTCCGAGGCATTGTCACAGATGCATCAGACTCATTTGCAGCAGTAAAAGCGGATGGCAGAGTTTGTTTGATAAGGGTATGGTGTGCTTACTCTTTCTGTGGCAAACAGGTAGAGAGCGCAGCACCTAAGGGCCAATTAGATGAGCAGGCACTGACAGCAACAAGGCTGTAAAATGGGTTTTATTTCTCTGTTTTGGCCACACAGATACATGACGTGACAGGACAAACCTTACAGATGTTAAAGGGACAGTTCACCCTCACATCAAAATTTCATATTTTCCCTCTTACCTGTTGTGCTATTTATCAGTCTAGATTGTTTTGGTGTGAGTTCCCAATTGTTGGAGATATCAGCAGTAGAGATGTCTGCCTTCTCTCCAGTATAATGGAACCAGATGGCACTCAGCTTGTGGTGCTCATAGTGCCAAAAAAATATATATATTTGAAAAATGTCTCTTTCCAGAAATCATGACCTGAAGATAATCTACAGACCTTGTTGTAAGCAGTTTCATGTCAGAACTATTTTCCCTCTACCAAACTACAACTGTCAACCGTATCACAGCATGGAAGGAAGTCTGCATCTACTCATGGACGAGAGGCTCGTGACAGCGCAATGTCAACATTAATGGCGTCCACTTTGGCTGAGCAGTAAAGCCCAGTTCAGACTGAAGATTCGCGACGAGACAAAACTGTTTCAGAACGGTTCAGAGAAACGTTGCAGCCGTGTAAGCTGGCCTTCTGAGCTCGACTGGCTAATGGTGTCACCTGCGACTCATCTGGTCAAGATGCTGGCTGCTGGTTCTAGAACATAAAGCTCTTCACCTGTTTCAACAGCCAGCCTGCTCGGAGTGAAGCCCGTTGGTCAAGTCAAAATGACCGCAGGCGGTGTGTTTGTTTGCTGCAGCCGGTGCTCTGTCCTCACATGTGCCATGTCGGACAGTAGGTCTCTGCTGCTGCTCGCTGTACTGTATGTGCTTATGCCTCCACACACCCAAATTCTCATTGACTAACTGGTGCTGCTTACTTATATTATTGTGGCATATTTATTATGAATATGTCTAAAAAAGCTGGAATTCAGAACGAAAGTACAGACAGTTGTTGCATAGAGATGATACACCATCTCATCTAGTTGCACTGGTGTGAACCTGCAGGTTTTTAGAACGTTGCAGAACGGCACATTGCAAGTAGCTGCATATTTCAACTCGTCTCATCGCAAATCTTCGGTCTGAACTCGGTCCTAGGCGAGCTAGCAGTAGATGCATGCTTCCTTCTGCAGAGTGATATGGTTGGCAGGTGTAGTTTGGAAGAAAGAAAATAATTCCTACACAACAAGGTCTGTGGATTATCTTGAGTATCCGGGTCATGATTTCTGGGAAGAGACACTGCTGTTTAATTTTTCAAATGTATTTTTTGGCAAGCTGAGTGCCATCTAGTGTTATCAATACTGGATAGATGGCAGACATCTCTGACACTAGCTTTTATTTTCATCATGTACTCATCCTTATAAGAACAATGAAAAATATTTAACTACTCTTTTAAAAAAAACAACAACCTGTAAGTTGCTCCAGCTGAAATTACTGAACTAGCATAAATGTGACATCACTCTTGACAGCTTGCAAACGGGAGATCACAGCAGAGTAGTCCTCTTCACATTCACAGCTTGACTACATCTGAATAAATGACAAAACGTGTTTATTCAGAACACGATGATAAAAGAGAGATCAAGGACAAGACTGAACAGCTTTGTGTAAGTGTGCTACATCTTTTCATATATGAAAGATAGATCTTTCATCCTGTGTTTGTGTGCTTGTTTGCCGTTGGATTTTTCATACTTCCTTCTTCAAATCTTTTGAGCACAACAAACGGTGTTTTGTTCACCTCTACTGTAACAGTAACAGTGAAAATCTCAAAAGACCTGTGAATAAAACAGAAACTATCTACATGGCTGTGCAACTCTGAGGTCAAGGTATATGATATAACAAAGTGATTTATACTGACAACAGAGAGCAAACTACATATGACAAATTCTGTTTTTATGCTTTTACCTTTTCACACTGCTTTTTTTTTTTAGGAGCCATTCATTTAATCTGATTATGCTTTATGTCAAATATGAATAGTACGGCTTCATCTCTTGTACAATATTGTGACTACTGCTACAGACAAGGTTACTGCTAAGAATGGGGGAGACAATTATAAGATTTTAAATCATTCAGTCATTTATATTTACAGTCATCTCGAGTTGTGGAGTCTTCTTTAATAATTCATATTTTTGGGAGGGGGTTGGCCTGTGGGCTGACTTTCCCTCTGCGAGCCCCTGCCAGGATACAGAGAGATGTGAGGTCACTTATTAAAAGGTTTTAATTGAGGGCAGATTGCTGCAGGTGGGGCAGCAGGTCCAGTGGTTTCTTTTACCCCAGAGTTATCATCAATTTTCTTCAGCTAATTATTAGATTAGCATAAATAATGTTCCGTTTGGGTGTGCTGACTTCTCTTCTCTTACTGAATTTGTCAGCCGGTAAAAATTAGTCGAGCTGATTTAAAACAGAGACACACACACGCACACACAGATGGAAAGACAGAAAAAGAGATTGTGATACACACTAAAAGATGGAGAGAGAAAAGTTGATGTGCGGGAACAGAAATTAGCCTTAACCTTCAGTCTTTGCCATGTCGTAATGATGATGAATAACGGTGAACAAATGATAAGCACAGACCTAAATCGAAAACGGCACCAAATAGGGACATGCAGGCCACTCACCTCAACACTCACACCCTCTTTCTCTCGCTCACACAAACACACAACTACACTTCTTCATTTACAAATTAATTTCATCAAAGCAACCTCTAAATGCAGGAAAACACAACACTCAAGACTTGCTCTGCCGTTGTCAAAAAATAAAAATAAAAATCTGATTTTTTTTTTTTTAAGCCATAAATTGTGGGAAGTAACCATGAAAACAGCTTGATATTTATTATGTTTACTCAGGCATGCAGGCTCATCTTTTCCTTGAATACTGCCTGAATACACATTCATTAATTTTTAAAGCGTACATAAAAACAGCGGAAAATAAAGATATCACTGAGAAAACTCTATTTCATATGTTTTGTCTCATATGTTTATTCTGTGCTTCCCCTGGTACAATGCCCTGAGAATTGTACCTCATACTACATTGACATTATGTTAAATTTACTATAAATAGGACCGACCAACCGAGAAGAAGGAAAAAAAATACCAATGTCAGCCTCTTAATGGTGATTACAAGTAGGGGCCTTGGACATGCAAGGCACTGTGGCTCCCAATATATACCAATTAGTGTCAAATAGCAGAAGTGTGTCGACACAGAAAGCAAACTGCAGCAAAGCCACTAATGCCAGCAGTCAGAAATAATACACATCAAAACATGCATTATATTACTACTAATACAATAAACTGGTTATTTTGCATATAGGTAGTCAGTTAGTTAAATGTTAAAGGTTGGAATATGAATATGTCAACTTAATTATTAAAAACAAAGTATTCATTGCCTGCAGTGTACATAGGCCTAATTTCATTCATAAGCAGCTGTGTCAATACAAAATCACTCAGTATGATTGTTAATCTGCTGTAGGAAAACAGCAAAGCAAAGTGAGCATGTGCATACAGCGTACAGATAAACATCTTAAACAAATATAAGATCAATGTGATTTGAGCTTCATGACAGAAGAGCTATAGGAAATTACATCAAAACTCGTTCAGGGATATGTGGGAGAAGCATAATGCCTATGCATGCCAAAGTAGATTCCCTGATTGCCTGAAATGAAACAGCCGACCACAGATATAATATATTCTCCATAACCTCATACAAAACATGGTCAGAAAACAGACCAAATACTGTGATATCACTGATTAAAAACAAATAAATTTGACTGCATTTGACACAAGACTCTTCTTCTGGTGTCAGAGGCACACTCACTGAGACCATCACTGAAGCAATCCATAACTAAAATCAATACTGCATTAAACTTGCAATAAACCAACAAAATTATTTGATAAATCGGAGGCATAAGGCAAGGATGCAGTCTGAGCCCTGCATTATTGAAAAGAGATTCTTAATCTCAATGGGACGCTCCTTGGTACAAAAAAGGTTAAATTTGAAAAAGAAATAAAATTATTTAACATCTTTTGCAATCATATGCACCACTTGAGCTCCAGGAATTGTCTCCTACAGCATACAGACGTTATTAAACTACTCTCCACAGCAAAAGAACTGCATTATACACCTGTAAATATCAATAGCAAAACAAGGACGGAGTAACTGTTCTTCAGAGGAGATCCAGGGGTCAGAGATGCAGCTGTCACTTTACTGTTTAAGGTCAATCACACTCACCAGCAGCTTGGCC